ATTCTTGCACTTCACTTGTTGGAATTAATATTAGAATGTTAGGGTTTGTAATCCAAGTGAGAATATATACATTTTAAGCCCTAACCAGGAACGACTGCGAAAAATGCAGCACAAGGTCCTCTGGTAGGAATTGAACCTACAGCCCTGCGATTCCGGTGCAGCGCTCTAACCAACTGAGCTACAGAGGCCAGCTGTTGAGCTTGAACCGTAAGTTCATGTATATTTAGGTTATCGGGTGTGCGGGTTGTGATAAGGTGGACTTCAATAATTTGGATTCTTGCACTTCACTTGGTGGAATTAATATTAGAATGTTAGGGTTTGTAATCCAAGTGAGAATATATACATTTGTATATTCTCACTTGGATTACAAACTATTCTCATTTGGATTACAAAATATATACACCAAATATATACATGTACTATACCGGTACATTTGTATATTCTCACTTGGATTACAAAATATTCTCACTTGGATTACAAAATATATACATGTATATATTCTCACTTGGATTACAAACCCTAACATTCTAATATTAATTCCACCAAGTGAAGTGCAAGAATCGAAATTATTAATTTCAAATGCCCTGCCGGGGCTAAGGTTCGAGTGGAAATACCCAACCCCCGGGATGTGCTTTACAGGAAAATGGCTGGGCGAGGGGGATGGGCACACTTGGATTTGGCTGATGCATTAAAAGTCATGGAAAAAGAAAAAAACTTTTCATATTGCTACTATAAAATGGCTCATTGTGCTTATTCCTGTGCTTATTCCAAACTGCTTGTCAAATATTTACTTGCTAGAAGTAGAAATTTACTCTGACCACTGGATGAAGAAGACATTAAATAAGTACTGGTCAATAAATAGAAATGTATTTTATTTCATAGTATTACAATTTTATTTTTATACTATAAAAATAAAATATAAACATGCGGCATAGAATATGCAAATTCGAGGCAATATTATTGTTGAATCGGTTTATTTATAGGATTTTATAACAAATAGCAACTATAAAAGTTTGTACCTTGTCTTCACATCGCTTTATTCTGTTAGCCAATGCTTTTAAATTTACATATTTTAGAATCAGTTCCTTTCCTGGTAACTGCATTTCTAAATGAAATCATCGTGAGTAGTGAGTGCTGAGCAGGCCGTTTTACTATAAACAAATTTTAGGAATTGACAACAACTTTGAAAAATATATCGTTGCACATTCGGTCACAGTCGGAAAAATGTTTGTACCGTCGCTTGCAACTAACGATGAACAGTTGCTCATAAAAACATTCGCGTGATTAGAATCTTCAATGTTTGTCAAGAACAACAACACTTAATTGTTGTTTCCCATGTGTACAGTGGACAATAATAAGTAACAAAACTTTGTGTGGTCTGAACGTGTTGGGCTAGAGACTTACTGAAAACTTTTACAGGCCTTTTAATGAGAATAGAGAATGTTTTATCTGCAACTGTTCACCCTTAGTTGCAACCGACGGTATTTGACAGCATAAAATTGCCTGTGGCTGTGATAACTGATATAAATAAAATACAGTCTGGTTATACTGACTTGAGCGTGTCATGACAAACTCTTTATTGGAAAATTGTGAAGAAATAGTCGAATATAGAGGGTCGAATATCATACTTCAACTTGTATATATAGCTACAGTATCATTGGTACATAGCGTTGTGAAGACAAGCCTTTGCTTACCTTTCGCTTCAGCAGTCTTTTTTTCCATGCTTCTCTACGCTTTCCCAGGCGAGCTTCTCTTTCCTCAGCAGTCTCCTCGAGCAAACGTTGTCGTCTTCGCTAGCTCCCTCCTTTTCGCTAGACGTTCGGCTTTCTTGTCGTTTCCTTGCCGCTCTTCATTTGGCTCCATACAGTAGTCGATATCTTTTCAATTAGTATTTGATACCGTAATTGTTTTATTAAACTTTTTATAGAACAAATTGCTTTGAAAGCTGTCAAAGTTTTTTGCAAACGTACAAAATATTGCAGTGCAAAAAGCAAAATATTTTCATGAAGTATCTGTCAGTTGAAGTCGTCATTCGTCGTACAACAACAAATTTTAAATTTGACCAATCAGTGTTCGCTATTCATGACAGTCCGCCATATTTTTGAGATCAGTGAGGATGACCACCCACCGAAACACGCACAGTGACCCACGCCCGCGATATTTGATGAACTTCAGACTTCCCTAATGCTTTCGTTTCCCCGGGTGTAAATAGCCGGGGGGAATTAGTACCCTCGCACGGCGCTTCGCGCCGCCGGCTCGGGGACAAGATTTCGTGATCTACAGTACCAAGCGATTTCTTGAGGTCAAGAAACATAGATATCTACGCAATTACGTTTCCCTTGCTTGTGTATTGGGACAACTTTTGCGCATTTCCATTCATTGGGAAATATTCCTGTGATAATAGAACGATTAAAGATGAGACTAAGGGATTCGGCGATTAAATCAGGGCACTCTCGAAGTAATCTAGTGGAGATTCTGTCCAAGCCAGTTGCTTTTGACCTACATAGTTTGGACAAAAGTATAGAAACTGTTAAAGTTGAGAGGTCGCATTAGTATTTTGACCAGATAAATAATCGAGGTAGGACCGGTTGCCTTCATTGAAGTCTGTGTTGCCGCAAGTTTGGGGCCGATGTTAGAAAAATATTCATTAAACGCATCGGCGATTTTATTAGAATCAATTAAGTTACCGTTCAAATAAATTTCGGTAATTTGAGTAATTTTCCGAATCTTAGATGTAAGTTCATTGATAATATTCTTTTTAGGATTGCCTTTATTTTCACAGTTGTTAGCAAGTTGTTCCATATGTACTTGTTAACAACTTGTATCAAGCTAGCTTGATGGCATTATCAGACTTGTTACAAGGTTGTTCTAACAAATCTGATCAGTACAGTCATGATATAAGAATATTACAAGGTTGACAATATTGTTATTTATTTTTTATCAGTGAAAATGAAGCAATCTGATTGGCTGAGGAGCCTTTCAGAGCGGGCCGGTTTTTTGCATCCGGCCCGCTCTGAAACGCAACTGCCCGCTGTGAAATGCAACTGCCCGCTCTGGTTTTCGCGGCAAAAACTGAGGAGTGAAACAATTTTTAAACGAAAAAATCTGCCAAAAACGTTTGAAAAACATAGCCTAACGATAGTCAAAATACAAAAATGAATTGCATCAAGCCCTAAAGGCTTCATACTAAGCACGATGTTCACGAGAATTGACAATACTTTGATAGAAATGCGACCGAAAGTCGGAAAGTAGTTGACATGTATAAAACTTACGTCGAGAAAACTATATATTTTTAAATGCTCATGTATTCGGCCACTTAAAAGCGAAAAAAATTATAATACAGCTTAAACAGATATTGTAAAATAAATGTTTTCCTATTTAAAAGAAGGTTTAACTGCAGCAGTGAAAACAAGTCACAAATATATTCTCTACCAATTTGTGTCATGTATGACACACTTTTTTCAAGCATATCGTGAAACAACAAGAAAAAATACAAAAATATAAAAATAACATAACTTTTTCATTGTCCTTTTAGTAGAAAAACGTTAATTAAATCAAAACAGATTCATTTTTATATGTTTTTGATCGGATCTGAACATGAACCTGTCGTTGTCAGGAGCAACTTGTCAAAGCCAAAACGCCAGGCATATTAAAAAAATTTTATTCCAAAGCTTCTCTCAGTTCTCTGCTACCATATTCATGAAAAAAGCATGTACATTTTTACTGAAACTATACGTCTTTTTGTGTGTTTCTTGCCAGTTTTCTCGAGTTTTCGTATTCGTGTTTTATATCTTTTAACTTTTCAATTTTTGTCAGCCTCGCTTTGAAAATACACAACTGCACTGATCTCAAATTAGTTCGCAAGCAACACTGGAATTTTAATCAATTTAATTTTTACATCTAATAAAAAATAAACACGTTATTTACCGGCAGCGTCGGTCCGGATGAGAAAAACTGTGCCCTCGAACTTGAAAACGTCCCTCGCCCTTCGGGCTCGGGCCGTTTTCAAGACCTCGGGCACAGTTTTTCTCATCCGGACCTCGCAGCCGGTAAATAACATATATATCATGACTGTATCGGACCTGTTGGAACAACCTTACAACAAACAAATCCAATAATATCAACAATGTTACAAGTTGTTAACAAGTTGTTCCATACTTCTTGATAACTTGGGACAACCAGTAGGAGCACAACTTGTTGCTAGCCTGTTTGGCAGACTTGCTACAAGATGTGAGCTTTTTACTACGTGTGTAGATAAGCAAATGTTCAACTGCTGAACTTACAAAACGTTCAAATTCCCAATAGTCTTGTTTAAGTTATTATTTGCCATTCATCTTTGATACAATTTTTAGACTTTGAAGCGAAAGGAACTGCGCCAACATTTGAATGATGGATTGATAAATCATGGTGGTCAACTACTGCGGTATACTCTCGCCGTTGCTTCTCAACTAAACGACTTCATCCCACGTCCAGAATATACAGGGATGTTGCAGAAAATCCGAGACGACATCACTGAGGTTCGCTCTGGCTTGGCCGAGAAATTCGTCATGGTTGTTGGAAAGTTAACTGGCTTGGAAAGACGGATTGAAAGCTTGGAATCCAGTGGTGGGGCTGATACAAAGATTAGAAATGAAGTGCATGAGATACAAAATAAAACTAGAGACCTTACTACTGAATGCGGCAACTTACGTGAACGGAATATGAGTTTAGAACGAGAAGTGAGAGATAAGGTCTCAATTATTGATCGTTTGCGAACTAGGATGGATCAAACGGATGAATCTCTTGCTCTGAATACAGTCAAAATTACCGATTTGGAGTCCCGAAGAGGACCAGGTGCACAACACGCTATCCACAGTTATAACGGCACTTTACTGTGGAAGATCGAAGGCTATCAGAGAAAACGGCAAGATGCTATTAATGGGGTAAAGACAGCCTTGTACAGTCCACCTTTCTACAGCGCTCAGTATGGTTGCAAGATGTGTGCTAAAATATATATGAATGGAGATGGTTTCGGAAAAGGATCGCATTTGTCGTTGTTTTTCGTTGTGATGAGAGGCGACTACGATGCTCTTCAAACCTGGCCGTTTCAAAAGAAGATCACGATGATGCTGTTGGATCAAGGCAATGGAGATCACATGATTGATGCGTTTAATTCAGACCCTCAAAGCTCATCCTTTCAACGTCCCAAGTCTGATATGAATATCGCTTCGGGTTCCCCACTCTTTATGCCACTGGATAGCTTGAGTAATCGTCAATACGTCAAGGATGATGTCATGTTTGTGAAGATCATCGTCGACTGAACAAGATGTTGTAGATTCTCAGATCATTCTATTTGGTCCGTATGTGTGGAAGAAGGCTAAGAATTGGGGAGATTTTGTGCCATGTGTTGAAAGTTGTTTAAAAATGTATTGTCAACCAAAACATGTAGAATTTTGTGTCTTCATCAACAATGCTTAGTGGCAGTTAGCGTTCCAAGTTGAATGCTGAAGATGTAGACGCTATCTATATACAAGTTCTAGTTCACTTATGTTATTTACTTTGCTGTTATAAATGTTGGGTTTTAGGTTATTGTTTCATGTTCAGGATTTGATATTCACCTTATACTTGTAGTTTGAAAAGGATTATTAAAAATTTTGTTATATTTATTTTCGTGCGCTTTTTTCAGGAACAAACAAATCCTTGATATCACATGTTCAGTTAGAGTGTGGTTCTCTCAATGAGTCGTCGAAACGTGCATCATTTTGGTTATGAGAAGGATCAGAAAGAACGACACAAGTGCTGGTATGCAACGACTCGACGACACACTGGCCTGATCAATGTACGAAGTTTGGTTCTATGAGCGTTGACGAACGAATAAACCTTGCAAAATCCAATCACGTGTGTTTCAGCTGCTTGAAAAGAGCTGGTCGAGAGCACAAACAAGCAAATTGCAAAAGAAGACGTCAGTGCGCGAAGACAGAAAAGGGAGTACAAAGTACTTATTACCATCACCCATTACATTTATATTTGTTGGGGGGAGGTTGGGGGGTTCGTATATAATATTCCATATGTTCTACTGTTTTATATATCATGCCCCTCCTGTAAATCAGCTTTTAGTTGTGCGAGGCTAGCGTGTTTTGATTTTCAATAAAATTGATTGATGATGATGATGATGATGATGATTGATGACATAAGAGTAATGCAGTCAACATTGGTGTCGCATCATTACACGAGAATGTAGAAGCAGCAATGCTTCCTGTTACTTCAGCAGATATATTTGGGTCGAATAATCTTCGTAAACGCGGAAACGTACTGTTCGATTCTGGTGCGCAAGTGAGTTTAATCAGGCAAGAAACTGCAGATAGCATCGGGCTCAAAGGAAAGAAAATCTCGGTGACTATAACGAAAGTTGGTGGGCAAAAAGAAGAGATAAATACTAACGTTTACAACGTCCCAGTCAGCGCAATTGATAATCGAAGAACATATTCTGTAAAGGCAATTGGAATTCCAGTAATTAGCAGCGAGAGTGGTAGCATTGATACAGGGAGCAACATGGAGCAGCTCGGCCTGCCTGGAGAAAGAATAAGAAGAAATAAAGGTCCAATTGATCTCCTAATCGGAATTGACCACGCTCAGTTGGCCCAACGAAGCAAAAGGATCACATCGTTGCAAGAAAATCCCCATTAGGATAGGTTCTGTTTGGCAACAAATGTGGAGCAGCAACGGCAAGAGAATCAACACGAGTCCTCCACGTAAAATATACCGCACCAATCGACATATCCGAGTTCTGAAAAACTAAAAGTATGGGTGTTCTTGTCAAACCGTGTGTCTGTGAAGCGGATAAACTCACTCCGGTTGAACGAGAAGAAAAAGTATTGATCGAAAATTCAACGCAGAAGATTGGCAATCAGTGGATGATCCCATACCCCTGGAAAAAGGACCCAAGATCGTTACCTGATAACAGAAATCATGCCTTGAAACGACTTGAATCGACCGAACGCCGCCTGTCAAGCAACCCAGACCAAGCCGAAGCATACCAGAAACAGATGGTTGAAATGGAAGAGATGAAGTTTTCGCGCAAGTTATCCAAGGAAGAAATTGAAAAGTACGAAGGTCCTGTGCATTACATATCACATCATGCAGTTATACGACTAGAAAAGAAAAGCACAACAGTCAGAATTGTCTTTAACTCGTCAGCAACGTACCAAGGGAGCAAATTAAATGATTATTGGAAAAAGGGACCTGACTTGCTAAATAGTTTGTTTGGAGTTGTCTTACGTTTTCGAGGGAGAGAAGTTGCAATTAGTGGTGACATTTCGAAAATGTACCATCGCGTTCGTATCCCACTTGAAGACCAACACGTTCATCGGTATTTATGGCGAGACCTCGAAACAGAACGAGATCCAGACACCTATGTGAAGACAGTGTTGACGTTCGGGGATAAACCGGCACCGGCTATGGCCCAGATTGTGCTGCAGAAAACTGCTGAAGAGAACCAAGAATTATGTCGAGAAGCTGCAAAAGCCATTAAAGCTAACTCCTATATGGACGACTTGTGTGACTCACTCGACACTGTAAAGGAAGCTCGAAAGCGAACTGAAGACATTGATAAGATTTTGGAAACAGGAGGATTCTGCGTTCAAGAATGGATATCTAACAAGACCCTGAATCAACAAGACAGTAAAGAAGAAACGGCATTGAAAATGCTCGAAGGAGATAGCAAGGAGAAAGTACTTAGATTGGAATGGAAACGTAAAGTGGACAAGTTTTCGTACAAGCTGACAGGTGACCTAAGCAACACGAAGAACGAAAACGATGAATCAAAAGAGACAGAACCACCGCTAACCAAAAGAACTATCCTGAGTCGAGATGCAAGAATTTACGACCCAATTGGATTCGCTGCAGGGTTCCTCATTCGAGCAAAGATAGGCATTCAAGAATGGGATCAAGAATTACCAGAAGGAACACGAAAAAACTGGTCTGAATTTTCCAAGGAATTAGAACACTTGAATACAGTTGAATTTCCGCGTTGTTTGATACCTTTGTCAGCCATTGGAGCACCAATGTTATGTGTTTTCGCAGATGCCTCAAGAAAAGCCTTTGGTGCTTGTGCTTACATTCGATGGCAGATCGACAATGGTAAATTTGAGTCCAAATTCATTGCTGCGAAATCCAGAGTTGCACCATTAAAGGAACTGACAATTCCACGGCTAGAGCTACAGTCAGCGGTCCTAGCATCACGCCTAGGAAAGAGTATCCTGGAAGAATCGAGATTTGAGTTCGAGAAAATCATCTATTTTACCGACAGTCAGATCGTATTGGCATGGATTCGGAGTCAGGCGCGAAACTACAAGCCATTCGTATCATCGAGAGTGGGAGAAATACAGAGTAATTCCAATCCCGCTGAGTGGAGACATATTAATGGTGATCTTAATGTAGCTGATGATATTTCCCGTGGTTTAGCAGTTTCAGAGTTAAACGGTCGATGGGAGCATGGTCCAGCATTCTTACAATTACCAGAAAATCAGTGGCCCGAAGAAGTATGCAACGTACATGAAGAACAGGAAGTAGACACGGAGCGTCGTAAAGTAAAGATTGTTCTAAATTTCGCGTCCACGAAAGCTGAAGAAGTGATGAATGTAAAGAAATTTTCAAGTTGGCGAAGACTGATTAGAGTTACAGCGTATGTGAGAAGATTCATCCAAAAATGTAAAAAGCAGAAAGATGAAGAAAGTCCAAACGAGAGATCCTTATCACCGCAAGAATTGCAAGAATCACAGAATTGCAAGAATCACACATTGCAAGAAGCACAGAAAAGTCTTGCAGATCGTGTAGCAAAAGGGGAATTTAAATCGCTGACCCCGTTTCGAGACGGAATTGACGTTCTGAGAGTTGGTGGAAGAGTATCAAAAGCAGATGTGTCCTATGATACGAAGCATCCTGTCCTGCTACCCAGTTCACATTGGATATCACTGTTAATCGTTCGACAAGCACATCAGTTTGGTCACAATGGTATCGCTGCAACAACAGCTAAAACGCGAAGGAAGTACTGGATAGTGAAGGCGAACGACCTCGCAAAATCGGTCAAGACAAGTGCGTATTTTGCAAAAGAATGGCTCAAAACTTGGAAACTCAGTTCATGGCAGATCTACCAGATATCCGTTTGGCACCATTTACCCCACCGTTTCACCACACCGCTTGTGATTACTTTGGTCCAATCGTTGTCAAAGTTGGTAGAAACAAGACAGCAAAACATTATGGAGTACTGTTCACCTGCCTGAATACCCGAGCGGTCCATCTCGAGTTAGCTGTCGATTGTTCGACAATGGAATTTTTACAAGTTCTCCGCAGGTTCTTTGCAATCCGTGGGACCCCAGCAGTTATGATCAGCGACAACGGCACACAGTTCGTTGGCGCCGAAAAGGAATTGAAGGGAATGGTAAAAGGTTGGAAGTCGGATGAATTGCGTGAATTCTGTGCAGAAAAGGGTATGAAGTGGAGATTTACTACCCCGAAGGCCCCTCACCATAACGGACGCGCAGAAGCGTTGGTAAAAACATGCAAGAAAGCGTTAAAGAAAGCTATCGGGAACCAAGTGCTATCACCGTTTGAACTATACACGTATTTGTTTGAAGTTGCTAACTTGGTAAATTCAAGACCTATTGGCAAAGTACCGAATAATCCTGATGATGGAATGTACATTAGTCCAAACGACATATTGCTTGGCCGTTCAACGTCCGAAGTTCCACAAGGATCGCTTAGACAAACCAAAAACCCAAGACACAGAGTTGAATTTGTTCAAAAACTGGAGGACTCATTTTGGAGAAAGTGGAGCAGAGTCGTTTTCCCGTCATTGGTACTGAGGAAAAATGGCATACGCGAGGATATGATGTAAAGGTCAACGACGTGGTAACGCAGTCAGAGGAAAGTGGATGATTGGCCGAATCGTAGAAACGTTTCCTGGACAAGATGGAAGAACGAGAAATGTGAAGATCAAAACGTTATGTGGACAATATAACCAACCAGTCACGAAGATCGTAGTTATCGTTCCGGTTGATGAAGACAAGGATGAAGAATAAGGACTACCCCTTATTGGGGGGGGCGAGGATGTGGCAGGGCATTTTTTAAGAACCCGGGGGTGGGGGG